GAACCAATTAATTATACAAATTGGCATGAAATGTCAGATGATAAGAAGAAAGAAATGTGAAAAACATTAGAGATATCAATATGATAATGGTTTAGTTACTTTTTAATGTCATGACAATAATCTTTTAGTTTATAGTTAATAGTATCAATTCATATAATATATATTGACATGTTCTTTTCAATTATCTTTTTAAAATTGTAGTCGAAGTTCAAATTTCATAAGTCTGATTCTGATGAGTTCGTTGATGAAAAAATAATTCAAAAAATTAAGTCTTGTGCAATAAGAAATATGGGTGCTAAGTGGAGGCTATGGAAAAACAAATTGAAGTTTAAATTTTACGATGAACGTAAGACACCAAAGGAAATGGTTGTAAAGGTTGATGATTCTCGAGTAGATAAAGATCAATTCTTGTTTCTTACTGCACATTGATTGACTAATAAAGCGAAAGTAAATGTTTATAAAATATACTATTTATTTTCTTCTAACATTGTGATATAATAATGAGCTATTATAATATATCTTTTCTTGTTCATTAAAAGAACAAAGTGAGGCAAACAAAACAAATCGCTTAAAACTAGATGAGCCTCATACATAGGAACAATCATTTTTTAGGATCATTGAAACCTTGGTACATATATCAAATATTCTTTGTTGCATTTAGTTAAACAAATATGAAGTTTACTATTTATGTGTGATTTTGTCATTATAATAATTAATGTTATACCTTTGTAGAAATAAGAAGCTAATGGAATTCCACCATCACGTGTTGAGGTATATATTTTTTCTCGTACACATAAAGATGAAAGTGTTGTAAATAACAAAGTAGCTGAAATTGTGATATTAAATTTAATTTATACTTGCTTTTACTTATGTTAATTTAGTTTATTTATATTAAAATGTTTGTTTACAATTTTAGGAACTCATGAAAAAATGTTTAAGTGAAAATAGTGCTAAGAATTATGAAGAGAGTTCGTGGAAAGATAATGTTTATTCAAAAGTTAAAGGGCTGGAGAGAAAAGGGCATGTTCGTTGTATGAGTACAATATCTATTTCATCTAAATAATATGATCTTTCATCTTCTAAATTAGTACAACATAAAGAAAAGATACAAGAGTTGAAGGCTGAAATCAAAGACTTGAAAGAAACTTTGAGTACCATATTGTCATTACTTCAAAGATAATTTTTTAATGAGAATATTGATATCTTGAATACTATTACTCACATGGTGAATAGAGAGGCATATATAACATTTATTTTAGTTTATATATATATGTAAATTATCATCTTGTTCATGAATTTTGAACCTTATTCAAATTTCTTTTAAATTATTTTTAGGCTCCTGATGCTAGTAGTACTCCAAAAATCACACGTGAAAACAATCAGTCTTCAAATTTGAGTCACCAACCTGATCAAAATGAAAATGGTAAACTCATTGACGCATGATGTGTATGTATAAATATTTTACTCGATACTTGTTTCCTAGATAGAATGCCAAAATCGATGTTTTAATCTAGGTTTTGAATCATATAATTGTGAAAGTTTGTCATTACTGTAATTGTGTGCTAACGAATTATTATATAAATGGATATTAACAAAAAACTATGTTTGTTTCCAATTTCTATCATTGTGCTTATGTAGTGCTATAATTATTTCGTTAAACCTATGTTTCTATCAAAGTTATGCATTATCATCTTTTTTTATCTGTGCTCCTTTCTTAGACTCAATAAGATTTTGAGCTTTGATATGTGAAAACGAATTGAAACTTTGTCGTAACTATTCCATGTGGTGAACAAATTAAATATCTATTAATGAAACAATATTGCGAAACAATATTGATAGAAACCAATAACTTTAACTAAGATGATTCTTTGTATTTTTAGGCATCTACTTCTTACGGTACTTGTTCTTTTTGCTTTTAATTTAATTATCTAATTGTTTTTTTTATTTTATATATACAAATCCTTTTATTTAGAAATCTATGGTGGCATCATTTGCTTTGGAAAGTTGTTTATTTACTTTATGCACCATGTTTGTAGATATTTAATGATGTTTGTTTTTATCTAAACTTGATACAATGACTTTAGTTCTTGACTTATTCATAGTTTGAATATTATAAAATAATTTGCTTGTAGTTATATTTGAAATGTTATTAAATATATTTTACTTTGTTGTGTATTTGAAATTTATATGAAACAATATCATATTATGATTTTAAATAAATTGATATTAATAATTGAAAATATAATTCAAAAGAAAAGTTTTTACCAACATTTTTACATTTATACTAACACCATTTTCTGTTGGAATATTTTATATTATACTGATGCCACCAATTATCAACCGTTGGTAAAGTTTATTTTCATTAGAATATTTTAGGTTATACTGATGCCACCAATAGTCAACTGTTGGTAAAGCCCTTTTTCTGTTGGAATATTTTAGGCTATATTGACGCCACCAATAGTCAACTGTTGGTAAAAGTAAAAACACATGAGGCTATACTAACGGGCATTAACCGTTGGTAAAAAATATAATGTCCAATAATCCGTAGGTATAAGTAAGAAAAATTAAACCATAGAAGTCTATACTGGCAGGTGTTAATTATCGTTAAAAGGTATAACATTAAAACATATAAGAGATGCTATACCAATTGATATACAATTACTAATGAACTTAAACCACTGGTGTATCTCTACTATATATTCTAACACTTTATAAACCATCGGGATAGGTCGATATCGACAATAGATATATTGACGATTAGAAATTCATTGAAATATACATTTTAACCATCAGTATAGGATTTATTATGCTATATTGATGGATTTTTAACTTTTACTAACACTTTTTTAAGCATTGGCATATGATAATTTGCTTGTAGTGTACCCATAAAAATAGAGTTTCTTGCTATATATGATTATAAGAAACTTTAGTAATTTGTTTTTATTTTTGTATTAAAAAATTTGAATCTTGTGAAGAATTTAGAGTTATCTTGATTTACAATTTTTTTTACAATTAACAGCACACGTGGTTTCTAAACTTTGGGCCAAATTATATATTGATCCTTAAACTTTGAAAAGTTCTAATCGAGTTTTTAATTGTTCAAACGTATGTTAATGCGGTTCTTCTATTTTTTGTACCATCTAAATTGACACTAAATCTTATGTAGCATGATACATAAGCTTTCAAACTTGTATTACGTGAAATTTTTTTTGTTGTTTAAACATATTACATGAAGGAAGACGAAAACTTGTTTTCTTTCCTCTTTTTTCTTCTCCCATTCTTCTCATTTTCATCACCAAACTTTCCCATCTTGATCAAATCACCACCAAGCTCTGATCTTTGCAACTCCACAAGTTTCTTTATCAAAGGCCAAAACTTTCATGTCCAAATCTTTATCAAAGGCCATAGGTTTCTTCTCCCCACTCTCATTATTCTCTAAGCAATGTTTGTACAACTTTTTTACATCTAAAGTAACCAAATTCAAGAATGCAATCAAAGGCCAAAACTTTCATGTCCAAATCCTTGGATTCCAACAAAGTTAAAAATTTGGGAATTTCCCCATTACTAATAATTTCATCCATAAAGAGAGATTAGTAAACTTAATCAACTCACACAAAACTTTTAGGCAATGGGTGGTTATACAAAGTACTGCATTTTCTCAAATTTGTTTTGTACAATTCAAGTCGTAAAGGATCGATTGTAAAATTGAAAAGGCTTTTCTATTTTATGACTAAATTTTGTAACTCACGATTAAACCCTTATGAAACTTGGTCTTCGAATTGAGCTAATAACGAACCAACTCATCTTCATTCTTCTATGGCTCTTTCAAACCTTTTATCAAGCTTTCAATGCTCTCACGGTCAATTTAGACTTGAATCTCATACTCAATCAAATTGGCGACGCAAAAAATGAAGTGAGTCAAGACTCGATAAGTTAAAAAACTTCTGAGGCTATAATTACGACTCTTTTCAAGGGTTTCGATGAGGGTTTTGAGGTCAGCAAGATATTGGGAAAGAGTAGAGAGATGTGGGTCTTGAGAGAGGATTTAATCAAATTCTATTTCAAGCTCAATAAAGGCTTTAATGGCAGATAGATTATGGATGGTCAAAGTTTATTTTTTTAATCTTTTGCCTTTTGGTTTTATAATTTGTTTAAAAACCATAAAAAATTTTAGGTAATCTGTTCAAACAACAAAAAATTTCACAAAATACAAGTTTAGAAGATTTTTTGTCATGCCATGTAAGATTTACCATGTTGAGCTAGTTTACATGCATTCAACTGATAAGTCAGAAGTAAATCCTTGTTGAGTTAGTTTAATACTTTTGTCTTTAATTATGTTATGTTTTGATTTAAAGTTTTTTTTTTATTTTTAATTCCACATTTTTTAATTGTACATATTTAAGTCAACGTTAAAATTTTATGTATTAAAATTTTTAAAAATTATGTATAATGTCAAGTGAGATTTTCTGTTAATTTAGATGGTCTAATAAATGAGAGGATTAAATTGGTATATATTTGGGTAATTAAAAATTCAATTAAAATTTTTTAAAATTTAAGAACAAAAATAAAATTTAACCTAAAATTTAAAGACTATAAATACTATTTACTCACTTTTAAAATTTTAAAAAATTTAAATTATATGAGAAGTAAATTTGAGTTTTTAGTCAAAGTTATAAATTAAAACTTCTTTAAAAAGTGCTAATGAAAATTTTTTATATTATTATTTTATTTTTCAATAATTTACAAAATTTTAAATAAAATTATATTATTTCACGTTATTTCATTTTATTTCATTTATTTTTTACTGAATTCCTTTGTTTTTATTATTATAATTAGTAAAAATATTTTTTATTTTATTTATTTTTTCACCTAAAAGTTAATAATTTAATTTATTAATAAAAAATTAATTATTTTATTTTATTAAAAATATACAAAAATACTATCACCGGAAACCTTTTCTAGGTTGTTCTTCAGTCTCATGTTCTGTTTGTCACATATCTGGTGGTGGCCATGTAGGCATGTACTGTCATAAATTGGATATGTGTATCCGAATATCCGATTTATTTCGTTCTGTTTGCCCATTTGCGAAATGATCCACAATAACATTAGGGCCCTCCTCCGACCAAAAAAACGAAAAAAATTAGGGCCCTTCTATTCTAGAATTTAGACCCAGCACCACAACGACGTCGTTTCAATTAACCGACATTTTCCCGGTGCAAATGCTCTAGTAACACGTATTCTTCCCAGCCAGCCTCAAAGTTTTCCCATTACGTAGAAGCAAACTTTTGGATTCTTCAGGGAATAGCGAATCCTAACTTTTGAAACAATCAATTCGCTTTTCAAGACAATCTTTAAATTTTGTTTCTTTCATTCTTGTTCTTTTCCTCACAGATTTTCTCGAGAAAAATTATCACGATAGCTTTCCTTTTTTTTGTTCGTAGCGGTTGATTAGGTAGAGATGCCCAGCGAATCTTCGTCGAATTCCAAAAATGCAGGGGACTCGTATATAGGAAACTTCATTAGTCTCATTTCTAAGTACGAGGTACGCTACGAAGGTGTTCTTTATTATCTCAACGTCCAAGATTCCACCATTGGCCTCAAAAACGGTACCCGTATTTTTCTCAATCGATATACTCATAAATATACGTATGTCTGTAGGCGTATTCATACACCTGCATGTCTATTGCTTTTTATGTATCTGCATTTCTTCTACTGTCTGTAGACTTAGGGTTTTTTTTCTCTTTTTCCTTTTTCTTTTTATTTATATTTATCATTTTTTGGTGAATGGACGATGCTCGGTCCTTCAAATGATGCTTTTGCGATGGATTTGTGTGGTTAGGTGAGGTTAATACGTATTATGCAATTAGTGTTTGAAGGTTGGGAAATTTTTTGATAATTTCTCGATATTTTAGAGTGAATATTTGGTGAACATTTGATAGAGCATTTGTTATAAGGTGATTGTATATTAATAATTTGCCATAAATAAGTGTGTAAAATTTTTAAGAAGTGTTTACTAATCTATGAAGATATGTGTGTAACTGTGCATGGCAATAAGATGGAGTTGATGATAATTTTTAGTGTTCCTGATGCTGTTTTCCGAGTTTCCTGATGGATTGTCTAAAGTCTTCCTTTTGATGTTGCAGTAAGATCTTATGGAACAGAGGGTCGGAAGAAGGATGGTCCACAAGTGCCACCAAGTGATAAGGTGTATGAATACGTTCTCTTCCGTGGAAGTGACATTAAGGTAAGTGAGAGCATTTCATGAATCTGTCCTCGTGGTTCTTTTCTTTTGAATCAGCAATAAAATTTGCATTTTGTTGCTCATGTTATGTGTACAGTGTTGCTTGTTTATTTTTGGGTTGGTTGGATGTCCCTTGCTAACGGGTCTTGTATAATGTGTTTATGGTGTTTAAAGCTTTTTCTATTTTATTCCTCTCTCTGTTGTCGTATGCTGGACTATTGTGAACGATAATTTTCTCTGCTATCGCAACTCTTTGCTCAAACGATTGTGCATCATAGTAGATTTTATCATTTTCGAAGATGCTTTTTGGATTACTCTGATGAACATAATTCTTTTTTCTTTATTTTTTATATATGGTGCTTATGCATTTATTTACAAACTATGAGTAGATGTATCAGTCTTTTTCTGGTGCCAGTTTGTCCTGCTACTTTTCTGGCAGCTTCCGTTGATAAATTAAAATTCTTAGTAATTGCTGGAAAGGTAAAGTCATTTGTTGAGTCTCACATACGTGCATATATACCAGGAAAAAAAAAAAGCAGAAAGATATCTGATTTGAGAATGTGAAACCTCAAGTGTCAGTAGTTATCAAAACTTGGCATGACTATAATTGTGCAAAGTGAAAATGGCATTGGAATGTGTAAAGCACATGATTAATGGGTGTTTTGTCTGTTTGGAATGTTCTTTTAGAGTTTAGGTATTTGGCACCATTAGTGTCCAATTGATCTTAAGCTTCAGGACTCTTCTTGTCAAATTTCAAGAAAGTTAATCAATTTATTATATTATGCTTTTAGTCTCATGCATCTGAAAGTTTTACTTTGTACTTTGCCCCTTCTCTTTGGCTCTTTTTGGGAGTTGACTGTCTACATTGACCAATGCATGTTCTCTTTTAACTTTCTATGTGATACATTTCTTATTCTTGTTAGAACGAGTAGGAGTAAAAGCACAGAAAACTAACTAAGGCATTTATGTGAAGTTTAAAAAGATTTGGTTTGCATATAATCAAAATATTAGATTTTAAGGTAAATGGTATGATGCATAGTCTTCTAGTTTGACAATATCAGAGGAAACAAGAAACATTGTCTCATATTAAAAAATGTCATAGAAAACGCTGTTGTTTGTAATGAAAGCATCTCATGTAAACATTGCTATTAAGAGTGATTAAGCTATTTAATATCAATAAGAACATCCATGGAAATTAGAGTTTGCATGCATAGAAGTAGTTCTGTCGGAGAACAACCATTTAGGCACCACAACGAGGTTTTGGGTTGAATCTTGTCCACTCAAGGATAATGCTAAATCTTATGGCAGGCCATTGGGAGCTCTTCAAATTTTTTGCTCATTGATTCTGATTGTACACATATACACATGCATGTGTGCTCATAATAAATTGTTAGAATGTTATAAGATAATGATTCATGGTGTTTGCTGATTTCTATTGAGACATTCAATCCAGGATTTGCAAGTTAAGTCTTCCCCTCCTTTGCAAATAGATGAGCAGATTCACTATGACCCTGCCATTATTCAGGTATCATTTAAAAATATTTAAAATCTAAAATCTTCCAAAGGTCAAATTTAAGAGTAATTAATTTTCCTCTTGTGTTACTTCCCTTTGCAGTCACGGTTTGCAGGTGTGTCTCTTTGCCCTTCTCCATCAGTTTCAATTGGTTGTAGAACTTTAACAGAATCAACTCAGTGGCAGGATACCCCTGCACTAGCCAGTAGGGTCTATCCAAGTGCTTTGCCAAGACATCAATTTCCACCTCAGGTGGATCCATCAAATTCATCAAATCATTCTCAGGCTGCTCAAAATGCTGGTACTCCATTATTTTCCAATCTGTTGTATTGGCACGGATATAGTGGAACACCAATCAATGTTTCTCAAGCTCAACAGAACCCTATTCCTTTTCAATCTCTATCAATGTTGTCATCTCCTATGACAGTGCAGAGTCATGTAAACGATCCTGATCTTCGCTCTTCACCCATTATGGGATTGATAAATGCACCAGAACCTGTTAACCCTCTCCTTTCGTCTACTACATCTAGTTCTTTACACTCTACTGCTACAGGCTCTTTTACTCCAGTGCAATGTTCCATGTCCCCTGATATGCCATCCTGCTCATCCTTAAAGGCACCACCCTCACAGGCTGCATATACTTCTAATAAACTGACAGTGTCTTCTTTTCCTTCATCTTTTGAAGACACAAACATCTCTCAATCTCAACCTGTCGGCAAAGCTGTTAGTAGCCCTGCTGCTGCTACCGCCAGTCCTTTATCTATTCTTCTCACCCCCATGCCTTATCTGGCTGGTTCTTCAGGTTCCTTGCTAACATCATCTCCATCTTTATTAACTCCGGGTCATCTAGCACAGACCAGACCCCATGCGCTTTCTTCAACACAGAATACATATCCTGATCGTAAGGATACAACTGCTTTTACATCTCTATCCTCTTATACTCCATCTGTGAATTCTACTCCAGTAACTCAACCACCATTGTTGCCTCTGCCAACTCCTGCACAACAGGTCAGATAATTTTTCTTTTCCTAAAGTGTCTTTGTGCTTTGTTGAATCTGAAAACTTATGCTTGTGAATAGCCATGCATAAATATTGTAGTGTTCCCATTAGTTGGCCTCAAAGGAAATACAGATGTTAGCCATCCTGTTTGTATTTGTACTATTTTGACAAGATCCTTAAATGGTTGTACATTTTGTCCAGTTCTAGGAACAAAACTACCTGGCAGAAATTCCAAGTTCCGTAGATTGTCTTTTCCTAAACGTTAGACTAACCAATATATTGAATCCTTTGAAAAAAAGTATTCTAACCTGTGCCTTTGATTCTTTTATTGTATATATAAATGGACCTATATGGAGTTGAAGAATGTGTAGATGTTATTGGATGGTCTTGTTTTATTCATTTATGTAGATAGAATTGGATAGGTTGAAATCTTAGTAAAAGCTACTTGTTGCATATTATTGAATTTTGCAGTCTTTAGACTCCACCCCACAGTTTACTGAAGAATTTGATTTTGAAGCCATGAATGAGAAATTCAAAAAGGATGAAGTGTGGAGCTACCTTGGGAAGGCAAACCAAAAGGATATAGCAGAAGAAGGCATAAAGGATGATGTGTCTGATCAGACCTTGGTGGACAAATGGGGTATTGGCCGCCTACTCTCAAATTTTGATCCAAAGGTTTTTCTCTCTATCTTTATATACAAGTCAGGGTTTGCGAGTTTCATAATTTTCAATATGAATTAAAGTCACAGCTTGTATGGATATTGTTATTATTTCATATAGATTCATATAAACACTTTTGAGTATTTCTGCAGCCTGCTTACAAGAAGGATGACTTTTTTGACACAATTTCCTGTAATTCTCAATCCCGTAGTGCAAGGAATGAACAGAATCGTTTCTCTGAGAGAATGAAGTCAGATAGTGAGGTTTGTTACATTTTTCTTTCCTTTTCTTTTTGACCAAAGGTTTGTTATATTTTTCACAAAAAAGAAAATAGGTACAAAACTTCGTGAAAAGTTTTGTTAAATAATTGATTTCTTGTTCATTTTTAACTTTCCAGACGTTTGGCAACTTCCAACAGAGGTCTCGTGTCAGTTATGGACCTTATGGTGGCTATAGTACTGGACATGGTCAGAACTACAGGGCATCTTATAACGGGGGTAGGGGATATGGCTATGGTGGGAGGGGTCGTGGGAACATGTATTTCTGATGCTACATGAGTCTAGTATCCTGTTAAATCCCATGACTGCTAGAGACAGTGTCATCTGTCATCTCAGTTTACCCGATCAACCTTTGGCTTTATGAAGACATGAATTATATCAAGGTAAATGAATGTGGTTGTTTGGGATTTTCTTGCTGAGGTGCTTGATAGGGAGCTACTAAACTGATATATTATGGCAGGTTCATATGTGTGTGTGTTTTTTACTCATATACTGGCCTTTTCCCAATAGGAAAGAATCATTGTAGCTTGATGCCTATATGTGAATGATGATTTACCGTCCACCATCCTTGTACGTCAGAATTCCACCATCACAATTTTTTTGCTGGATTTTGGTAATTTCCATCTACGACACTAACACCCATTTTTAACCATTCATTTTATCTGCAGTAAACCTGCTATAATGCCCTTTTTATCTTTTCTTTTCTTTCTTTATCAAGTTTTAAATCATTAGTTAGAAATTTCGAGACCTGGACTCAACATAAGCTAGTAACCACTCACTGACAACTGGTTTGGCAGTGTGAACTGATATTTTACAAGGAAAGTGTTCACACTGAAAGGGATGTAGTGCCTGTTAATGTTTTAAACCACTTTGTAACAATGAAAAAGTAGGGTAAAGAAGGTGATTGGATTACGACTGGTTGATCTGTAGTAATTATGGTATGTATATTTCAAAATTAAATGTTTATGTAGAGAAAGTGCTGTGGAATGTCTTTTTGGTGCAGCCACCAATTTTAGACTGCCACTGACTGACCCGATAGAAGAAACGGTTCAACTTGTAAAAATGATTATGATGAAATGGTTTAACATGTAAAATGGACCAGCTAGATGTTAGAGGAAACTTTGTAGGAAATATCAATGATTAATAATAAAATACTATAAGACGATGCCTGTCGAGATGTGTAACCCCTAGGAAAAGGCATAACAAGAATAAGAATTTTTTGCTTTGGTATAGTTAGTTATGACAAGTGTGGAGCCCTCTTTGGAAGTGTTGTTCAAGCATGTATGGAAGAGGGGTCAGAAAGATTTAGTTCCTCCCTCGTCCATTTGGTATTAGTAAAATTTCCCTTGGTATCCAATGTGGTTTCTTCACTCTTGCCTTAATCCCTGTCATTCGTGGAATGTTGCTTTTTTTTTTTTTTCCCATTATAAAACGTTGTTGGAGAGAACTCTGAACCGTCCCAAGTTTCATTGTCATTAGCTTTTTCTTCTCAGGGCGTGCTATTGTTTTTGTTTTTTGTTTTTGTTTTTCTTTTTTTGTTGCTGCATAGACGTTTGAAAATCTTTAATTAAACCCCAAGTATAGTGGTATGGGACTTCAATTTGTTGACCAGGGAGCCAGCTTTAGTAGGTAGATCCCAAGAAGCTTAAAAAAAAAAATTGGCGCTTTAGTTTGCTTGAATAGGGAAAACATTTATAAGATCTGGATTAAATTAAATTCACTATCGTGGTGGAGGGTCTATCTACATCATCAACTAACTTTTGTGGGGAATATATGCAAAAGAACCATCTCTTATATTTTTGTTCTTCTGACTTTAGGAAGGGGCCGAAGAACTGGAGTGGGTAGTGGGCCATCCCCTTTGGGCCCTGACTCATTGTCCTTTGTTCTGTATATCAAATATCAAGTTGGAAAAGAATTCTAGTATTGCTTTTGAAGCCTTCGGTTGGGCCTTTTGGCTTCTGTACTCTGCACTGTTCAGTTGTTTGACTTTGTTATCAGTTGTGGTATTGATTGTTTCTTTCAGAGTTCAAAACCCATCGTTTCTCTTGAAACTAAGCCTCCAAAAATCCCGAGTCTATCACTGGTTACTTTGTTTTCTTCACGCATTCTGTGCACACACTTTATGGCCTTGATCAACTTGATTCATCCATATCATCATGGCGGCTGCCCCAAGCAGGTCCAGCACGGTAGCCAGGCTTAAAACCCCAGAGCTTATGTACACTCCGTCTCTAACTCTGTAGCATTCACCGTCCAACCACCCTTCTCCATAGGGTTGTTCTCTGCTCATAATCGTGGCCGCGCTTATTAAGATAGCCACAACTCCAAAGCTGATCCTGCAAGAACCGAAGCTTTTTAACTTTTTTTTCTTCTAAAAAAAATGAAGACCGTGTTTCTGTATGACTTTTAACAGTATAGCAAAGTCCAAGTGTCACGGGTCGAGACTTAAGCTCCGAACCCGCGCGGTTCCGGGACCCGGGCATTCACCCTTCCGGCGTCCCAGATCAGCCTTCCGCCACGGTTCACACCCTTGTGAGGTATTGTCCGCTCTGGCCCCCTGACCTCACGGTTTTGTCCTACAAAAGGCGCCTCACAAGGCGGAGATGGTGTGAACCCTTATATACCCCAGGGACCCTCCTATTATGTTCGATGTGGGATTCAGGACTCCCCCTTAGGTCTGTGACATTCTCCCGCACCCAACCTCGTGACGTCCTCGTCACGGAGGCCGGCCACCCTGCCTACCTCCCTCGAGGCGCTCGGCGTGGATCGAACGGTTTAGGGCTGGCTCTGATACCACTTGTCACGGGTCGAGACTTAAGCTCCGAACCCGCGCGACTCCGGGACCCGGGCATTCACCCTTCCGGCGTCCCAGATCAGCCTTCCGCCACGGTTCACACCCTTGTGAGGTATTGTCCGCTCTGGCCCCCTGACCTCACGGTTTTGTCCTACAAAAGGCGCCTCACAAGGCGGAGATGGTGTGAACCCTTATATACCCCAGGGACCCTCCTATTATGTTCGATGTGGGATTCAGGACTCCCCCTTAGGTCCGTGACACAAGACCATTTTTCTGTTATCTTTATTAAATTATATTTTCGTCGGCGTTGAATCTGAGGGGAGATTATGAAACTGAGACATTTCCAGCTGTTCATGTTCATTTATTCGTTTTCCCAACTAGTTGGTCTCCTCTATCTCTCTCTTAAATAACATTCTAGGTCTGATCTGTACACAATCTGATTCATCCACATCACTCGAGTTAGCCCACCGGGAAAGGCTGGGAAATGTGTGAAATTGATATGAAATTAGGCTTTTTTTTTTCTGGCAAGTGTTATCCGATTCCTATTCTGGTGATCAGAAATTCTAGAAATTAAAGGGTTAGAAGATTTTTAGCAAAGGATTCTATGATCAACCTGAAGGTTTTTTTTTTTTTTTTTGGGTTTTTGGGTAAATGAAACTATGTACGGCTTAAAATATGGATCCACTTTACAATTCTACCAGCAGTTAGCAGCCCAAGATTGTCTCTGTTAGCATGGCAATCCACATAACTGATTGCCTCAATAGACATACAAGAGATGGATCACCTACCAGGAAAATGCTAGGAGAATTGCAGTAAGAATTGGTTTCTTAGCCTTTCGTCTCGACCAGTAATATGCACAGACTACTATGTTCCCTATGATTTGAGCGATTGAGAGACAGATTAATGCTGCAACTCCGAATCCAAAGGCATGACTCGCAGGTATGAAACACAGATTTCTATCCAGTTTGAGATCACCCTTCTGCAAAACCACCTCAAAAACAAACAAACAAATTAACAAACAAAACGAAAACACACGCATTAGTTGCAATAAATGAATAAAATTCATTAGTACTTTTATCAATGATCGATATAGCAACCTACGTACGTACCTTGGGTCTCTTAGCCTCAGCAACAAGGCATGAGGTGAAGGAGACAAGGCCGAGGGAGGCAATGACAGAGAAGAGTAAGACGCAAGTAACTTGATGTTTTCCCATGGCAGGCAGCTTTTTGTTGGAAGTGCCTTGAAAGGAGAATAGAGTTTAGGTAGGGGCAATAAGAAGGAGGCTTGGGGCTTACTTAAGGCCTGTTGGACGTTATCCTCCTCTGTCGGTCCTTTAGGTTTCTTCCTTTTGCGGTGGTTGAGCTTTTCTACCAATAATTCTGTCATTGCTTCCAAGGAGAGACACCATGTCCTAACCGTATTTACTCTTTAGGTGGTCTTAAGATTATATATGGAAATTAAGCTTTATTATTATTATTATTATCTTCTTTTTTTTTTTTGTGAGAACCGTTTGTTTTTGTTAGACATTGGGGTGGCCAACAACGACCTCAAGAGTCAAGCTGGATAAGTTTGAACTCCATTTGTTGAAATACAAAATGATAAAACACGACAAGCAGTAATTTGATAATCATAATATTGAGGTTTAATTGAGGAGGAGGAGGAGGAGGAGGAGTGGTAGTAGTAGTGGATATAAACAAACAGTGATAGTAAGTAATTGATTTTTAGTGGTTTTAAATAATAATAATAATAATAATAATAGTGATACAACTATCAATATGTGCCTATTTGAAGGTTATTATTATAAGATAAAGATGGGGAAGTGGGCAATTCATTACATATAATTTCAATGTTCGGTTGCAGATAAATATTTTTGTTTATGGTTATTATTAGGCTTTTCCAGGGAGATGTATAGCTTTCGCTTTATGCGGTGCAAGTTGGGTCTATAAATACTATATTAAAATAAGAGAGGAAAAGGTTAAGGCATTGCCATTGCCATGGGAAGTCAAATTAATTATCCAATAAACTATTGACATATACAGTTACGTGAACAGATTGGGTGCAAGCAGTACTACTGCCGCCTGATACCAAGGAACAAATTAAGGATGCTTTCAAATTTCTAATTCTTTAGATCAGATAGAGATTTGCTTGCTTGAGCTGTTTGTGCGTTTTGTACTTGGCCAAAAGCATCTGATTCCAATGCTGAATTCCTGTGTGGCTAGCACATTAATCCAACCATGAAAAATTGAAAGAATGTATGATTCCTTGCCTTTTTTCTTAAAAGGACAAATAATATTTCACAACAGTTAAATCTTTCTACTTAATCCGCCACTAAATGCATATGTAGAGAGATGGATTGATGGTCGAAATCGTACATCAATCATTTCATTTTGGAAAGCAAGGCAAGAATTAGGGTTCCAATAGCTCTACCCCCCAACCCAACCAAGTTTAATTAGCTACATGTTCTATTGTTATGCATTGATCAAGTTCTGAATGTTTTTGTTTGTAATTATTAAAACATATTAACACTTTGATTCTTCATTCATACATTTTCACTAGATGATTTATGCAAGAGTTGAGGTTTAAAGGTCAAATACATAAATAATTATTCGAGTTTAGGAAACCTCGCAAAGCTAATGCTTAAAATACTCTTTTTTTTTTTCCAAGCCCAAGTTTTTAATGTTAAATCTTGACTTGGGTAAGCTCCAATTGAGCCTTGCTGCCTGCCTTTGGTTCAGTGAGCTAGGGAGTTAGTCCAAACTATAAATCAAAATGCTTAGTTGGGTTGGGCTCACGTATAGAGGTGTTTCAGTTGACATCTTAAAAATTTTGGCCAATTTGCCCGTGTTCCCCGTTCAACTCAATTAAAGTTGAGAACATACTACTGAGTGCAATGCTGGTGTACGTCTGTAGCACTGCGCCATATTAGCAACAACAGTAGACATTGCTGTCCTTCATAACTCTTCTTCTCTTTCTCTGGCCAAGCATCGGACAAAGGTGCATCTGAAAATTAAGTATCCCCAGGCCATTGCCACAGGATATGGAGAATCAAAATTTTCCTAATGTTAACCACTTCTTTTCAAGCAAGGTGAAGTACTGAGAGCCCCACAAGCAACAATGGTCGCAATGGCTTTTCACTACTCCACAATGAACATGTCTTTGGCCGATGCCTGCATATTTTAGCCACGATGATGAAGATGTCTTTTGCCCCTACCACAATGAAGATGGCTTTGAGTTGCCTGATTCTTCACACTCTATTCTCAAAACTGCAACACATTAACAAGCCTCCCCTTTCTTGGTGGATAAAAAGTAAGAATCCAAACAAATTATAATGGATAACATTTTATCCGAAATTTTTTAAATAACTTGTATTAAATAAAATATTGAATAATTTGTCTCAAGTAGATGATTTGCACTTCTCCCTCTTGTATAAAAATAAAAATAAAAAACTCATAATTAAATTCTATTCCGTTACATAATTAGATTTCACTATAATAGATAATATATCCAAATTTTAGTTTATTAATTTATCAAGTTTTGATGTTTGATTTTAGTTTTTTAATTAACTTAAGTTTCCTATTATAAAATAAATTTAGGATAAAGACTATTCTATCTATTGTTTAATAACCATTGAATATTTACAGAGAAAAAGAATAGTTTCTTTTTTTTTTTTTTTGTTTGTTTTTACACAATAATGCATGCGGATGCCATTTTCAAATATAGTTCTTTTTATATTTTCTAATGTGGATTAGTTCAAGAAAATAAACTATATGATTCTCAATATCTTTTATTATTTTATTTTTCCGTTTTTTAGAATGATATTGTTCTCATTATATAAATATATATATATATATATATATATATTAAGTCTTTATTTAACTAATGAATATTCATAAAGTTTAACAAATCAAACATAAAAATCCTGTCACCGACCTTAAGCAGCCTAGCTAAGAGACGGGCGGAAAGGTTAAGGCCTGAGAAAGACAAGGCTGCATGTCAAATACGTTCCACTTAATTACTGGTCATGCCCACCCAGCAAGCAGTAAACCCAGTATTCGAAGATAGAACTATTGGTACTCAATTTCCAAACCACTAGTTGATAAATTGATATTTTGCATCGTCAAATTGCATTTTTCAATTGCTTAGATGATCCATGGCCAAAACACTACTACGTACTACTACAGAGTACGTACATGTATACTATACAACTTTAATACTCTAATCCATCCTACGCTTTAGCTTTAGATTTAGGGTTTCCACTCTTCAAAAGCACTCATATGATCTCTTTGTAGTAAAAAAATGCCAGTACCTGCAATTAGCAAGAAACACAAACAAAACAAGTTCCATCATTCTTGAAAAATGCAACTCATCAACATTAATGGATACACGTATACGTAGGTACAAGAGCAAATATTTCTCCTCTATCTATTTATCTATCTATCTATATATATATATATATATATATATTTATATATATATAGGCATCAACGCTTGAAGATTCTCAAGTTAATTTTTATATATTTGGAAATTGAGGGATTCAAAGCTGCACGTTTTTTAACCCAAAAAAAAAAAAATCATTTAAGTTGCTTTTTAAATCAGCTCTAATTGTCAAACTCGGAGAATTAAAATTATAATAGTACGAATATGTAATAAGATAAGTTCAGCCTTCGAAATTAAGGTTACTCAGTGGTTACCAACTCATGACATATATGTTTGTGCATTTACACACAAATGAATTTTTAAGTATGAATTTAATTACAGCAACTGGTGTACATGTAAGGCGTGTACTTAACATTAATGCACGGTAGAATTGTAGATTCTAGTTCTTATATATTTCTCAATGACCAATAATTACCTTAACCTTAATGATATGATGATGATTAATTACAAGGCATTTCAGGAAAGAAAAAAAAAAAAAGAGAATTATTAAATCACATGCTGGTCTGCCAAATTCCCGTGTCATAAGGACATGTCCATTGCCGTGGGATTACTTGAAGCTCAATTTTTTTTTATTTTTGATACTGTTAAGGGTATATAACGATAAAAAAGATATAGTAATTTTTTTTAAAGTCTTTAATAAATAATTAAAGATATTTTGATTATTTGTATTAATTTAATGTATTAAATTAATTTGACATGATCAATATTATCTCATCTCAATTCAACTTTATCTTAATTATTTTATTTTTGTTCTTCTCAATTTATCTATAAAAATGAAAATTCAAATGCCATGAAACCAAACTATCATATTCTTCTTTTTTTTCTTTCTTTCTTATTTTTTTCACTTCTTTTTTTTATCTGATTTTTATTAATTTATATATCAAAATACAAATATAAAAAATACTTTTCAGTTTTACCTTTTAACTACCCTTTCTTTTTGTACTTACAAAACACCCTTTAAGACAAAACTCGATACCAACAAATACCAAAACTTCAATTCCAGCCCTCTCCAACTCAAGTCCAGCTCAAACTGACCACAACAACTGTACTTCAAACAAATTTACACCTGCAAATTACAAAAGAAAATAAAAAATCGCGGGGCTGTGCTTGCTGCTCTCTGCTGGCCGGGCAACTGATAATCGACTTTGTTGGTGGGGGCATCTATCGAAGACTTTATGGATACAACTTTCTAGAAAATAATAAATAATGCAAACTGGGGCCTAGGAAAGATATTTTTGAGTATCAAATCTGACCAAGGCAAGAAAGATGTGCAGAATTTTATATTTACTCCAAAAGCTAGTATCAAAGGACAGGACAGTTGAATCATCACAAAAACCAAAATCGATGATGTGATTGTGCTGCCTTTTCGTGTTTCAGAGAGAAATAGAAGGAAATTGATTCAGTTGGTTAGGTTGATTTCTTTTTATAAAAAAATTTTAGATTAAAATTTTATAAATAATTATTTATTAAGAATATTTTAAATATATAATTTATAATTATTTATTTTAAATTATTAAATATGATATATTTTATTTTAATTTAAAAAATTAAATAATTTATCTATTTCAAATTTATTCTTACAAAAAAAGAATTATCATATATGGATATTCAAATCAAACAATTAAGTCATTTGGATTCTTGAATTTATCATTTTCTTACTTAAATTTAAATATTAATTTTAATAAAATTTATTTAATATGAAATTTTTTTTATTTTTTAATTACAATTATAATAATTTATTTTAACCATAATTATAATAATAATAATTTTTTTAATTTTACTAGAGTTGATCTTATTATCTATCGCAATGAAATTTAAAAATTTGTTTAGATGAATGATGAAATTAATATTAATAAAATTAAAAATAATGATAACGATAAAATTAATTATTATAGTGATGAAATTAGATAATGTAACAATAAAATTAAAATTAATAATAAGAAATATGT